GTGCAGGGTCAGACTTTCATAGAGTGCAGTACTGTTATATATTTTGAATCCCTTTGTTGTAATTATGGATTTCAAAAGATGTTACCAAGTTAAGTAACTCTGAAATAATTAAAAAAAAAAGAAGAGCTGACCAGGAACCCTTTTATACTTGAGTTCATAAGACAAGGAAGTTTGAAAGGATATTACTGAAAGTGATTGTCCCTAATTGTTCTTCCTTAGAAATGTTTAAATTTAGTGGATTAATCTACCAGTTTTTAACCCTGAAGGGCCAAGTGAGTTAATTTAAGCCATGCCATGGCATCCGTCATCCATCTGTCCATCGGGCATCAACTTTTTTGTAAGGCACTTCTACTCAATAACCAATAGGCCTAGGGTGAGGATATTTGGCCAATAGCAAACTGGGACGAAGGGCTATTAAATTTGTTCAAATAAATGACCTTGACCCACTTTTTAGATCACTAGAGTCAAATATGTTAAAATCTTAAAACAACTTCTTCTGGAATAACCGAAAGGCCCAGAGTGATGATATCTGTCCAGTAGTTTACACTGGTATGAAGGGCTAACAAGTTTGTTCAAATGAATTACCTTGACCTTATTTCAATGTCACTGAGGTCAAGTGATTAACAAAAATATTCCAACTACTTCTGCTGAAGAACCAAAAGACCTAGGGTGATGATATTTGGCCAGTAGCATGCTACCAAATTTGTTCAATTTAATGACCTTGAACCATAAGGGTCAAATATGTTAAAATATCCAAACAACTCCTCTGAATAACCAAAAGGCCCAGGGTGATGTTATTTGGCCAGAAGCATGATTGGATAAGCAACTGCGAAGTTTGTTCAAATGAGTGACCTTGTCCCAACTTTAAGGTCACGGGGGACAGATTATTTAATTTTTAACCACCTCTCCAGAATAACCAAAAGGCCCAGGATGATGATAATCTGGCAAGTAGTTTGCTGCTATGAAGGGCTTCTAAGTTTGTTTAAATGAGTGACCTGGGTCCACTTTTAAGATCACTGAGGTCAAATAGTTAAAAAATATTCCAACAACTTTTTCTGAATAACAAAAAAGCCTAGGGTGATGATATTTGGTCAGAAGCATGATGGTATGAAGGGCTACCAAGTTTATTGAATAGAAGGACCTTGAGGATAATGTAAGTTGTAAAACCTGTCTAAACAGAACAAAACAACATTTATACAACAATGTTTACACTAATGTCAAAGGTTGTGTTGTGGATTTTTCATGGTTCAGATCAGACATGCAACACTTCAGCTTTACATACATATGTTCATGTATGCTAAGTTTGTATTTTAATTTGATAATGGTTCATAGTAAAAAAATAATTCATCAGAATTTTTAACTACATTGAAGTATTTATATAAATACTGGTAGTCACTCTGATGGATCTTCTTATTTCAGGGAGTTGAGATTGATAGAAGCCCTCCAAGAGCCTCATATATGTGAAAAAATCCTGAAGTATAAAGTCCACAAGGAAAAGAAGGGATCACTGAGATTTAACAAAAAGGAAAGTGAAACTATGGAAACCCTGCATGGTTTAGTGTGAGTTTGCAGGATTTGTTATCATGGTTCTACCGGATACAATGTATATCAACATGCAGTAACGATTGAACATGTAAAAATGGATAAGTGTTGTTCTTAATCACAATACTAACTGTCTTGTACTACACCGATGATTAAAACCCCTGTAACATATTCAGTGGGGATTGGGGCTTTACCAGAGGGATATCAGAGTGGCTGTGGCAATTTGTCTGTGGATGGAAGATTGTCCAACACACCTGCGCTTATCTCCTCAACCAATTTTCATGAAACTAAATGCATATGATTAGTCTTTGGTAGATGTGTAATTGCTATTTAGATTTGATTCCAACACTTTTGTTTGGAGTTATGTAGTTTTTCTGATAAATGTAACATGATATTGTCCAAAGTGTTGCTATTAACCTTTTTGACCACTACTAATGAAACTTTTAAAAGTCATGAACTGTAAGACACCTTTACCTATCACTTGGTTTGAAGAGCACCGGACAGAAGTCAAGGAAAAACTTAACTGGTAATCTAGATGTCCAGGGCTGATAAGAATGTGCTATAGGCTTGCTAGGCATCTCTTGTTTTGTGTTGACCAACAACTATTTTCCCTCTGTAGGAACAAGGGAGTGAAGGTAGACCTGGGCATTCCTATGGAGATGTGGGACACACCCTCTGCTGAGGTTACTGACATGCAAAGGAAGGTCAGTTAAAAAACGCCAGATGAAACACTTAGGAATGTAAATTCATGTATTGGTTTTTATTAGGTGATCTATTGCGATCGCCTTTTGTCCGTCGTCGTGCGTCCGTAAACAAT